GGAACCAAAAATCAGAAAGGTTAGAATACTTTTTTAAAAAATATATGTAGAAAATTACATTCAAGTTGAAATTTATTTTTGTAAATCTGTTTTTATTTTTGTGTGTAATAATAGATAGATAGATAGATAGATAGATAGATAGATAGATAGATAGATAGATAGATAGATAGATAGATAGATAGATAGATAGATATAGATATAAAGATAAAGATATATACAGATATATATGGAAATTTTGAAAAGTTTCATCAGATCACATGCTGCTTTCAGTTTAAAATCCTTTCTGGCCTTCTCTATAGTTAGCAGTGAACATTTTCAAAGTTCTCACATTTCCCAAGTTTCTGCAAATAACTATCTGTGGTTACTGTGCAGGAACATTGCATTAGGGGTGCTAAAATGGGGCAAAGCTCACTTAACAACAGTTAGCAACAGAAATTTTGGGCTTAGTTATGGTTATATACTGAGGACTACCTATAAAGTGTTGCTGTTAAAGGACATCAATACAGTAGCAGATTGGGGCATATGCAGTGTCTTTTCTGATGAAAAGGGGTAGCATTTATTTTATTAATATAGTGAATCTTTAACTGATTAATGGAGCAGATAACCTGTTCTTCTTTTTGACACAATTTGTATACCATTTGTGTAATAACATTGATGTGCAAAATTACAGATAGTCCTCAAGTTACAAATGAAATGGAGCCTGCCCATTCCATTTGTAACTCGGCGATTCATAGGAGTGAATCTCGTATCTTGAATGCGATTCACTCCCAGCTTTTGCTCACGAATTTGCTAATTTAAATGCGTGGGCGAAAGTGCCTCTCGTTAAGTGAACATGCAATATATCAGTGTGGGGAAGGCCATGAGGGAGCCTAGTAATGGAACAGGTCACCTAAGCCCACTCCCCCGAGATACCTGGAGTCCTCACAATTGCTTCCCTGCCCAATCCAGCCACTCCAGATCACTTAACTTGTGAAGATCTGTCTCCACTTCAACCTGTTTCTTTCTCTGCTCCCGGCAAGAGCAGAGGGAGGCCTCTGAAGCTCTGAACAGACCTCCCCTGGCCTCCATTCTGGGTCTCGAAGCCCTGGAGGAGGCCTCCGAGGCCCAGAACGGACCTCCAGAGGGCCGCGGAAATGTCCCCCGGACTCCTTTCTGGGTGGCAGTGGCCCAGAAAAGGCTTCCAACACCTGGATTGGGCCTCCAGAGGTCCGCAGAAGAGTCCCCTAGTTTCCTTTCTGGGGGGGGCAGCAGCCCAGAAAAGGCCTTCAATGCCCATATTGGGCCTCCGGAGGCACGCGGAAGTTCCCCCTGGCTTCGGTTCTGTTCTCTGCAGAGAAAAGAGGGCTAAAGTACCATGAAATCACACAAGATCAGTAGCCTGGGATCTCGTGCCACTGATCTTGCATTACTTTAGGCCTCCATTCTCTGAACACACCGAAGGCCTAGACCAGCCAAGAAAGAGAAGGATCTTGATCTTCGCAAGGTCAGTATGTAAGGCTTAGTACCTAGGCAGACCCGGGGCGGGAGGGGGGGAATAGCCAGGGTGAATGTTGCAGTGCCACTCTGGTCATTTGTAAGGGTGAATGACTGCCATGGTACAGCAACTTTTGTAAATTCGGGAGTATTTTGTAAACACTAGGGTGTAACTATTGTGTAACTTCGAATTTTCGCTAAGTGAATGCTCGTAACTCGGGGGTTACCTATAGTCTATTCCATGTGAAACCTGTTGTATTAATCTGGTGAAGTGAAACTGCTATAACATAATTATAAACTTTGCTGCCAGTATAAAAATGAGCAGTTGCTATGGCTTGAAATCTTGTTTCATAGTTTCCTTCTTCCACAGCCCCTATACACAAAGCATTTTCCATCTGGCCAATAACACTTGAAAATATATGCTGTAGAAATTTTCTACAGCATATGGAAATGTGTTTCAGAGTCTGCTCAGAGAAAATGTTGCTGTTAGATTTGGTCTGATTCAGATTTACATGTATTATATATCATCAAATTTGTGTCAATCCTTAAGGAGACCACATAATTTTTGTCCAGGACAGATTTAGATGCTGTAGGATTTAAAAATAATATACCATTATTTTTTTTTTGAAGAAGAAGAGGCGATTGTATTATCGGACAGTGAAGAAGAGGATGTTGTTATTCTAGAACCTGAAGTAACACCAAAGAACAGGTAGGGGCACTTTCTGTTTTACAAAAAGTGGGAGAGGGAATATTGGAATATTCTAGAATCTCCCAAATGTTGCATTTTTCTCTTTATGTTGATCATCATCAGGTTGGCTTGAAATAACTATTCTAATATACAGTAGTTCAGTATTCAACATGTGGTCTGGACCCAAAACGGCCTTTTTGTTATTTTCTGAAGAGAACTACTATAAAATCATGGTTATGATGTAAATCTCTTTTGCTGACAGATCTTGGAGCCTTAATTTCTTTCAGATTTTGATCAAAAAAGGAAAGAGACAGGTGTCTCTTCCAAAGAGTGGGAGAAGCTAATACTGTTTCTTACCTTATTCATACTTAAAAATGTGATAGATCACAAAACGTATCAGAAAAATTCAGTAGAAAAAATGTTTCTGAAAAGATGCTTTTTTCTTTAAAATTAAGAAAAGGGGATAGTGGAATAATTCGTATTTTGTGTTAAATTATAAAATGGTTAGATATAAAATAAATTTATTTA